CAGTAAGAATCAAAAGCAAAAGAAAGTAATTCTTCCGGGTGCTGATGCGCGATAACCCAAGGGCTGAGGTATTTGGCTACGGACAGCATAATAGGTCATTCCATATGGCATTAAAATTGCAATATTTTGAACACCCATCTATAAAATTGACAAATATAACGAAAATATTATATATACATGCCATACCATCGTAATTATTCTACAGTAAACATTAAGAAAGTAGTAACATATTTTTTAACTATAAAACTTTAACGAGCTATAACTCTTTTATGACTGACTTGGCTTGAATCATCTTTGTACCATTTGTGATTTTTTTGTTTGAAAAAATTATTTCTTTATGATTTTAATTTAATAATTTAGGCTATCGAAAATTGCATTCAAAAGAAAATTGATTTTAATAAGTGACTGATCAATTCTATCGGTCGAAAATGAAATAAAAATAATCCGCGAAATTACTTTATTTAGAATTTATATTTGGGCCAATTATAAAAATACACGATGGGAATGTTTGAGGGCAAGGAGTCAGCATATTTAGATATTTAGCACATTTAGAATATTTTTTTTACGTTGTATGATGAAATGTTAGACATATTGGTTACGCATCGTATTTTTTCTACAGACTATCAAATGTTCTATCCATAGATAATTGTCGTAATTGTTTATTTATTTCGTAATACTAAAGCTAATATAAATTATATATAACAAAAAAATTTATATACTAAAGATATACCCCAAGATGGAATACATAATATATACCAAAAGGATTCAAACATTTACGAATGGAACAATAATATTAATATAAAATACATTTAACTCAGTATAACCTAATTCGGCTGCGTTGTGTGATGGTGTGAAAGTGAGGGCATGCACGTGTGTGTGTGTGTGATGTGGGGTGAGCTCATGATGCAGGTTATTTAGCGCTATTTTATATATGTTAGATAAATATCGTTATTACTAGGATTTTAAATAGGGTTATTAACAAGCATTTCGCCAAAAACTTTTATATATATTGTTTGTATAGCAACCCTGACTGGACCGCTATACATTGCCTAAGCATATATTCCTTTATTGAAAAAGCCTTCGTCCTAATTTATATTCCGACTCTACCGAGAGCTGGGAGACTAAACCCGTTTCCAGTTACTCGAATATATCTTAATCCAATCGGTACTGTACAATACATCGATTTTAAATTTAAAATTGTGAATCGTATACAATAATAATGTCTTCACTTTTGCACTCGTTATTTTTGAATTAGTATTTTTTTAATATTTTCGTATTCATCGATCGGACTTATAAACATAAAATAAATACCTATATAGAACTATTATAATGTATAATGATAAATCACATTTTTTAATTATTGCATTATTATTTTGGGAAATTCATTTAAAAACTGTGGCTTACTACAGACAAAGCAAAGAAAGCGAAATAAACTAAACAAAAACTAAGTAGCAATAAAACGGGTCATATAATTTTCTTGTATTTGTGGCTTAACAATATAACCCAAGAAATTGAAACATACAATTTTCGTATTTTTTGATGAAATACTGTAGAAAATATATCAACACTACACAATGTTCCTAGCTATAACGTAAATAAACACAATTGAAAACATGAAAATTAATTCAAGCAATACAAAACCCGTTTGTTTTTAATGCGATATGCATTTAAGTGTTGGACGTGATTACAAATGTTAAATCTTTAACTTTCACAAATGAATAATACCCGCCGGCGTATTATAAATCATACGTACGCTTATTGGATTAATATAATGGCGCATCTGATTTTCAACTGTCTAAACTGTCTCTCCATTCTCCTCGTGTTGATGGTATTAAGCATGGAACAATTTTTGGGATGGGTTTACTTGCAGGCGTTGCAAGTGCTTAATACTCATTCCCAAGGTATAAAATCAGCAATATTTTCCAAATTCCGTCTGCAAAAACCAACCTACGAGTTCAGGTACCTCTCCTTATAATTACTTATCCGGAGCTGGATATATTCGGTAGCGGGCTAAATTAATCAATTTTAAAGAAACCATTGTTAAGTGCCTCGTACCTAATCAGCTATTTGTTGGTTTTTATTTTGTTTTTATTGTATCTTGTATATATTTTAATTGTATTTTGTAAAATTTATGTTTTATAATTGTCATACATTTTAGATAAAAGAGTTTGTAACATATACCATATTATGTATGACGTGGTAAGGTTGAAATAGATTAATAGATTGAAATTTTTATATGTTAAATATACTATGTTACGGTAACTAAGGTAGTTGAGTTACATAGCAAAATTATTTAACTAAGTTAAACAACTATCGCATTGGCTATTAGCTGTTAGAGTTTTTGTATAAATAAATAAAAATATAATATTTGGAAGGTTATGTCGATCGAAGTATTTTCGTCAAGAGTGTGCGTTCCAAAAAAGGCCGGCAACACACTTGTAAGACATTTGACATTTTGAAGTATTAATGTCCATAGTTGAGCCACATCAGGTGAACCTTCAGCCCCTTAACGCCCCTTTATATAAAAACGTTGGAGACAGCGGATCGAATCTCCCTCTTTACTGAACATATTTGCCGGTGTCTTAAATTTTCAGGTCTGGTTTTATACGGCATTGACACTTTTAAGTAGTACCTATAACTTCATACTGCACTGCTTAAAACTAGATACCTATGTTTATCATATAAGTTTACACAGTGAATATAGCATCATAAAGTTATGAAGGTATATGTCGATGTAACAAAATCCCAACCCAAAATACACTACGAAAATATCGACTAACACCCTATTCACATTGCAGCTGTGGTTACAAAAAGAGCTGTAAGTCATCAAAATCTCATAAAAGAATTTGGCGTCGAGGGGGTGGGTTCAGGAGGGGGAGAGGTGACTCCTGCGCAGGCCGACTGCCAAAAATCTAGTCAAACTGGCTCGTATAGTGCAACGCACTGCGCAACCAATGCGTGTGGCACAAGAGACGAATTGAGAATTTTTCACATAATAAAAATAATAACATACATTTATAATTTACTGATGTGAATTTAGATTACTAGAACTAAGTATGAATCTAGGCCATCTAATTGGGTCATAAGATAAACAAGTACATCTTAGCAGCATCTTCATTTATTAATATAGCTCTTAAATTTTGTTATCGGCTCGGAGCAAAAATCAACTTAATTTTTATATTTTTTTTATAGAACAGCGGGCAAACTTGCAGGAGAGTCACACTGTGATAAGCCAGAGAGCTCGCGAGTGCGTTGCCGACCTTTAACGGCCGAATCTGATATTTAAATTATTAATTTAATCCATGGATTTCACTGTCCAGTCGTTAGATAGTCTGTACGAAGTAGGTGCATCTAAAAAGTGCACGATGCAAGCGAAGGGGAAAAAATAAAACTCTGGCCGAATCTGCGGACGACGACCGGTCGTTCACCCCGGGAGTTAGATGGTACCTAGGTCCTTATTATTATTCATTTCTATTTATTATTTTAATGTATTTGTATTTTTTAAGGTCAGTACATGCCTTTGAAATGCGTTTGATTTTTGGCTAATCATATTTGACAAGTTGATAAGTATTTAATGAGTTAAAATTCTTGCTGAGCAACAGTGTTGTTGTTCAGCGATTCTCATCCCTGAGGTAGGTAGTAGGTTCGATCCCAGGCTGTGCACCAAAGGACAATCTTTCTATGTGCGCATTTAATATTCGCTCGAACAGTGAAGGAAAACATCGTGGAAAACCGGCTTGCCTTAGTCACAAAAAGTCGATGGCGTGTGTCAGGCACAGGCTGATCACCTACTTGCCTAATGATCATGATAGAAATCTGAGGCCCAGACCTAAAAAGGCCACTGATTTATTTTATTTTTAAAATTGTTGCTAATGAAGAAAATCTCTGAGGTGAGAATATAAAAGGAAGACCTGTGATGGGATAAAAAACGTTTCATTTAATTTTAATTAAAAACCATACAAATTTAGCAATTTTTTCATGATTTTATGTTACTGCTAGCAATGACCTGCGGTTTCACTCGCGTAGATACCGATCTCGTGTACTCGAGATAGGCAAACATACAATTGCCCATGGGTAATACATTTTTTTTTAGATATTGATACGTTCTATAATACTATACAACATTTTTTGTTCTATCATGGTAGTTTCCACAGCGCACGCTACGACAGATTTTTTATCTTCTTGGGGTATATTATTGCATTTTTATAAGGGATATCTTTTTAATAAAATGTAATATAGCCTATATTAGTCTAAAGTGAAGATGCAGTTTTCTAATGGTGAAAGAATTATTAAAATCGGTTCATTAGTTTCTGTGTGAAAACATTACAAATATACAAACAAAAACACAAATGGTTCCTCTTTATTATGTCTAAAAATGTTGTAAACACGTGTTTCATAATTCTATTTATAGCCGCTAAGTTGGTTTATTACGAAATTGGAAAATAATTGAATTACAACTAGAAAAAAATACCCCACGACCGATATAAGAGTACATAAAGACATCTTACAATTCAAAACAAAGACCTTTTTAAAACACACTCCGGCCTTTTAATAATTTGTTCAGATAAAAATTTGTTACTGACTTTGTACATGCTCTTCAAAATTTTACATCCGAAAAATATTGGTAAAATAGGAAACTTTATAAGGATGTCTTCAAATCCTTGGTATTGTGATTTACACAAAAGTTGAGTGGGCGAAGGTGAACGATTCATCAATACAAATCATTAGCGGTCCCAAAAAGACGCCAATCGGGTTTTCTTTGTGGCCTTATCTTAGTCATGTCGACCTTAGAGCTTCGGATGTGCAATGTCATCGAGTATATTTGTGTAAAATAATATTACCTTGAAAATTATACTTTAATTCATCGCTTTTCTAACAGACAAAAGAATTTAAAAAAATGTAAAAGAAGAACTTACACATACACGTTTTATCGTGTGTATGAAATACTTTTCTTTTAGATTAAAATACTGTTTTCACATGACCTTGTTTCTTAATTTCAGACGAAGTCCCCAGAAGATGGAGATACAGGAGGGGAAACTCCGCCAGGAAACGGCTCAATCTTCACAATGACGCTAAAGAATAATCATCTTATTGTAGAAACGGAAGAGAGGAATGTTAGTTTAAACATATTTAACATTGATGCCTCGGAATATATGAATAACACAGTTGAAAAAGACACAACTCAGTCAGCCTGGTCGAAATAGCCATGCGAAATTTAAAGAATACATATCGAATAAAAGAGTAGTTGATCTATTAAAACGTTCCAACAAAATCGCATTTACAATATTTACCTGAATGGCCACGCACTAATAAATACCTCGACATTCCATGAGCGGTACTTTGTGTTATGAGTATGTTCGTTAATATTAAAAATTTATATTATTTACTACTGTTGCACGCCAAGGCTGTACATTTTGCTCACTCGGGCCTTCAGGAATATATGAATATAATATATGTAAATATATTGAACAAAAATAAAAGGATATTTTTTCTATTTCCAGGATATCACTAAGAATGGACGGGCAACAAAAATGAAGTACTCACCCGACAACGACGGAATCTTCGTAGTTGAAGTTCAACAATCAAACTCTTACAGACCTAATAATAAAAACCTCCAAAATTCACATATTCAGGACCCTCAGATATCTACAAATCAAGCTCTTATCCACCGTGTACCAGATGAGTACGAAAAGCGCATCGTTGAAGACGATAGCGAAAGAAGTAGTGAAAAATTTGATCGACAATTGGCGTTATCCAGTACAGGACTTTCCATCTCAGATCTTAGTATGTCCTCGATGGGCTCTCATAATGTTACCTATTCGTACAGCAGTCAGATCGGATACGAACAAGGGCCGTTCGGATATCCAATATACCCAGGCTATGATGTGTCAAAAGACGATACCGCCGAAAGTTTAATTCACGATAGCTCACAAGAACCTTTAATTGGTAAAACGCCAACTGATCCCGATAAACCAGTTGTTACAGCCGCAATTTTCAAACAAGATTCTGTAATCAGTAATGATTTACTACAAGGGCCAATATATTGTATCGAAGGTTCGTCGGATGGCCCCTTACTATCTGATGTTCAAGCGAGAGAGATAAGTCTCCAAAAAATTCACGATAAGAAAGAAAAGAACATGGAAAACGGCGTAGCAGTGGCCGTGGCTGAAAAATTTGAGAGCCCAATAAAAATATTCACGCGATTTGATTCAGTTGCAAATCCAGATGTAAATATCAAGGAGACAAATACGGCAGATATTCCTAAAGATATTTTAAAAGGTAAACGTGCATCTTTACCCGTGATTCGAACTGAAATGTATGAATCTGTGAAAGATGTTATTCAAGCTGGTTCACCAAAGTTTGAGAGATTGAATAATGATATGTCGCCAGGTGAGGTGTTTTATGATACCCCTCCGATGATAACAATTACAGAAGAGAGCGAATCGAAGCCAGAAGATACTAGTTAATTTTTAATATGTATATAGAAGTAATGTTTTAGTATTATATTCCTTTCGCTTGGCTAAATGTGGTGACATTTACAATATTGTGATTTTATTGATTTTTAGTTGATATTTTTGTGTTAATTAACTTATTTTTTTTTTTAACTCTCGGTAAATTAACGAAAAATTAACCTTTAACGTAAGTTTAATCTTGTATTGGTTTTGCGTTTTTACAATAATAGGAAACAGAAGACGCAAGTGGCAAAGTAGCTAATGGTAATCATAGATGGGACAATCAATTTACATAAGAAATTAATAATTTTATGTATAAAATAACAATTATCGTTAGTGAATTATAATAATTATTGAAAGTTAGTACATAATTAAGAGGTTTATAATGCTATCTAGTGTTTTATGACGTAAAATTATTAATTTCTTATGCACATTGATTGTTACATTATTTTATTAGATACTTTTTTATTTGGAACTCGTTACAGAAAAATGCGCTTTAGTATGTGTTAAAGAAAGAAATAATAGAAGTAAAGTTTCATGCACATAAGCCACATTTAGAATTGTAAATTTTTTCCTTATTAGAAATAAGTAGCTTAAAGTAATTTAAAATTATTTTATTTTACGATTGCCTTCTTGCGTAAGTTTGAATAGATTGATTTAATATATTTAAGTATACTAATTATGGACGGCAGAATCAAAAAAGTAGAGTACCAATCACAGGTGTCTGAAAAAGTATTTGTAAATTTTCATTTTTCTATTCTTTTTCAATTTAGTATTTTTACTTTTTTTTAAAGTTATAATTTTCAATTTTTGTATTTAAAAGTGTATACAATAATATTATTGACGAGTTACTAATACAATAGACCACCATCTTTTTCGTTATATTATATTTCTAAGTAAGGCGTATCTTTTAGGATTTTCATGATATCTGAGATCAAATTTGTAAATATTGATGTGCCAATAAAATGTAATTTTATTGATTTTAATATATTTAGAGTAGTTCAAAGATATGTTTTCTGATTACTGAGCATTTTTCATTCGTTAAATTTAAAAATTTAGGGTCAATTTTTGCGCTGGGTAGCAGATTCGTTTCACCGCAGACATTTTTAAAAAAATCGCTAAATAAACTTCACTAATATGTAGGCACAGCTTTATTGGTGACAATGGCTCAAGGTTAGTTAGGTTTTAAGATTACCCAGACTGTACTAGTTATACTTTTAATAAAGTAAAAGCTTATAAAGCTGTTATTTCGTCTCGAACACCAAATATTTTGCTTTAAGTCAACAATTGTATTGAGATACAGTATAGATTTTTGTGATTCTAAAAATTTATTTGTGTTGGCAACTATTTAATGTAGCTATAGATTTTGCTAAATGTCAAGTTCTTGTACCAATAGAAAAATAGAGCTTGCTGCGTCCAGCTCTGCCGCCACGGCTTAGTGGTTAAACAAGAGGTACGTTGAATTCGTGGATTCAACTAGTTTGGCTGACAACGACTTGTTATAAATTCCATCAAATTATTTATTTAAATCCGGTTTATATGTATGAATTTAGTATATGTTAGCAGGGTTATATAGTTTAGAAAACACGAATTTCAACATTTACCCAAAAGTAAATATTTATTTTATTGTTTGAGAGTCTAAGAAATTAAAAATTGTGTTTACATTCGAATAAATGTTGTCTTATACAGTAAATATTGTCCAAGATATGAACCTGAAAATCTCTTCTTAATTTGAGTGGCGTTTTTTTAGTAAAATGTTTATAATATTTGCTAAAGGCCAAGGATTAGACCCGAAATGCATATATGGGGCACACCAAAGCAAAGTGTAGGTTTATTTGTAAATAAAATATAGAAATTGTAAAATTATATTTATTATGGTACATACATACATTTATGAAGACTTTTATTTGCAAGCCTATTGCATTTTGTATAATAAACTTTTGTCTCATCGTGATCTCAAATTATTTCACAATACGTAGAGGAAATTTATTGAAAGAAATATTTTTAAATTTTTGTTTTATAGTGCCGTCCTATTTGATCGAATCTTGTGCCAAGCAAAATTGAATTTTATCTCGTAATAAGTAAATTATAATTGTAAATAATGCTTTGTTATGAAGTGGCATTGGGTTTTGAGTTAAAAAACATTCACTCAGGTCTGATCGAAATAAATCTTGTTAAATCCTAAGCACTTGATGACAAAGTAATTTTAATAAATAATTAATAGTTGATTATATTTGATTCTATATATTTTATTTGCATATTTTTTGGGTTTAATTTTATAAATAAATGGTTATTTGCAAATTTTTATTTCAATTCCTTGTATTATTGACACACATATATTTATGTATTTCCTAATAGCAACCCCTGGAGCTATGAATCTCCATAGGGTAATCACCACTATATATATGCCGGCCATTAAATTTAAAAGAGTCTAACAGGAACGCAAGGGATCTATTGATGTTTGGTTATCAGATCAAGTAAGCTTATTTTTAATTAAAAATATAAAGCATTTATTCTACACCAAAGCCGTTGTATTGTATCCTATGATTCTAACGATCTACGCCGTAGCATAGAAGCGCGTAGATCGTGGTTCGTAGAGTTTTTCTATAACTCGTAGCCACATCGTAGCAAGTATAAACTCATCTATGGGGTAAAACCGGAGTTTCATGAGAACTTTAGTATTTCTGAATTCAGTTTGAAAATGCTAAATGTTATAGTTGATCTATTTGCCAATAGATGACGTTAATGCGTAGGTTTGCATTTTGACAAACCTTTGAAACAATTTGATCGCTTTGTTTCTACGCCATCTACTAGGCGGTGATGGAAAACAAAATGTTTTAATATTTTGAAAAGTTCAATTACACTTCTACAGACGGCGCATTACGCAAATAATTAGCTTTGACATAATTATTACAAATTACATACTTCATAGTTAAGCATTAATACGTTTTCTCAATATTGTGATATCTAACAGTACAGTTGATATCTTCATTATAATTAATCATTATATTTTCAAGTTAAAATTTTTTGCTCAAATCGACTTGTAAACTTGTAACACACAAACTTGTAAACTTAAATGTTAAAGAGAACCTCCTAGGAATATGTCCTTATAACTTAATTATTAAATAAAGAAATTATTGCAATCACTTTTAGTATGCATTCTCAAAAGTGATGGTATGCAAATTACTGTAAAACTTTTTCCTACCAGGGTCAAAACATTTAAAGAAATAATAATAGTTTATTAAACAGAGTAATATGACACGAAAACTTAATCAAATTAAAATATGTACCAATCAATAGAAAATACAGCATAGTTTTTAAATCTCACCGAAGAAATAAAGTAGACATTAACTAAGCCGGATACGGTACATTTGTATAGTATGTAATCAATTCTAGTGGATCCGCGCCGTTCTCTCGGGAAAAACGTATAAATTTTATATTCGAAATTAAGTTTATAGCAAATTATACATAAAAAGGCGTGACGTTCCAACTACCCTCATCTCAGCTATTGATTCACTGCGGATAATTGAGTACACGCGTGTCACCCGTCCCCCCCAGGGGTTCCGGGGGGAACGGACCCCTCACACGTCGCACCTCATTTGATTACAACGGAAAAAGCGGCGAAAAATCGAGATGCAGTAATCGGCCCGTCGCTATAGCAACCAATATTAACGGGGGCGCGGTGACCATCCAATTGATTGGTGTGGGATATCTGCGCAAGTATTGCCATTTCCTTTGAGAATAGTGTTATAATTTATAATTACATATTTGTCATGCCTATCTAGTCATCCAAGTTTCCATTTTAAGTTTTCAGCTACTTTGAACACTCGATAACAACTACTAACTTTTATCAGTTTAGAGAAATTTGTAAGCAACTAAAATAACTATTTTATAATTACGTCATAAATTTAATTTATAGGTTAGGTTGGTTATATGCCTTTAACTGGCAAACTTCTGTAGAAAAGTATTCAAAATATTTTTTCCAAACTCCAGATAAATATAAGCTTTGTCTAAGCAAAAGATGTATAACTTGAACAATTGGTAGCACGCGTTTGCCAACTTCGAAAGCTCAACCATATTGAAGCTATGTTGTTTTTATATATCTAGGTATAACGATGCTTAACACAGAACCAGTATTATTGAATTGAAAGTTCTTAACGGGTTAAAAATCGAATTAGTCACTTTATTACCATTCGAAATGTTAAGTAAATAAAATAAATTGATTTGTGTTTTAGTCCGTTAAAGTCAAATATGTACTTGCGTAATAAATATTACTTTTTCGAACAATTCTCAAAAAACCCGTCTCATTACCGAAGTCATATGCACCCCGAACATAAATAGATTCCGCGCATAATACATCCGATTCCACCTCACCCCCTCATTTTTGTTAAAAAGCCTAAAACCCGACCCACTTTAAACCCCTCATGCAGATTAGCTAAAACTACGCATTTTTTACCCCACTCGGGGGGATTTTTCTCCTGCTAACTACCGAAATGTGGGTCCAGGGAGAAGGGGAGAAAAGTTTGCGTTTTAAATATGTCCGAAGGCACGCATTACCGTTTGCGAAATACAAATCATTAAAACCCTTTTGTTTCAAATTTTTCCAACTTTACTAATTGCGTAATACGTTTGTTAAAATATTCAGATAAACAGTATTGTGTATTGTTATTATTTGAGAAAATTCAAACATCTTTTGATAAAATATTTTTAGTTAAAAAAAATAAGATTGGCAACTGTACAATTATTGATTAACGACTGATATAGTACTTTTGTGAGTCTATTGAAAATTCCCGTTTTTTTTTTTAGTAATAGGGGGCAAAAGTGCAGAAGGCTCACCTAATGTTAAGTAACACCGCCCTTAGATACTCAAATTGGCAGTGGGCTCCCGAGTGCGTTGCCGGCTTCTAAGAATTGGTATGCTCTTTATTTAGCCGTTTCTGGGATATCTCGCTTAAAGAAATCATTTTAAAGTATCTTTTTTTTTTTTATTTTTTTAAATAAAAATAAAAAAATTT